ATATATATATATATATATATATATATAGAGTTAGATACATCTTTTCTTAAGCCCAATAACATAAGTTTCGAAGAATACAGAATTAGTTTTAAGTTTCTTGATAACTTGCTGTAGAATGTACGTTTTTGTCAAATTACAAAAAAAAAAAATTTTACGTGTTCCATTCTAGTTTTTATTTTTAATGAGTCTTGTTCTCATCAGTTATTCACCACTTCAGAAACAGTTATAACAATAACATCAAGTGACATACAAACACTAAGCCGGTAGAAACTAGTTGATAATATCTTGGTGAAAAATGTCCTGCGGAGTTATCGTCTCTAACGATAGATGACGCTGGTTCCGAAATACTGTGACTGTCACGAGAAGGTTGTGCACTAGAAACGTTTTCGAAGTCTTGAGGTGTTGTCATAACTCGTATAGATTCGGGAAAAGAATCTTCTTTGTCCTCGATGTGTTCGTATAAATCAATTTTAAGCCTATTTGCCTTTTGAGTGAAAACCTTGAAAGTCGTTGTCATTGGCGTAGTCGTGTGGAGACACCCGAGGTCGTCAAAGTTTAAATCCAATACACGTTTGGTATTCTTGTCGCTGTCATGTTTACACTTCATATGGTTTAACTCCATTTTGAAGATATGGTACTTGGCAAGGTCAGCGTACTTCTTTACCCAGTTCAGTCGACAATCACACTTCAAGTTGTTGTCTGAAAACGTAAATTCATACACAGATTATCGTGAGGTAGTGGCTCAGCCATATATATGTGTGTGTGTGTATGTTATTTTTATGTTCATCCATGGTCCCGTAGGTTCTTATTACATACCTTATTTATGTGGTACATGTTGAAAGTTCAGTTTGGTTGGAATATTCGTGTAAAACTACACTGCGCTAGCCATCAGTAATTTTGAACTTATAGCTATACTATAGAGAAGGCAACTAGTCAACAGAGCCCACCGCCAATTCTTGGGTTACTATAATCAGAGTGGGATTTTACTGTCACTACACCCACGGCCCCAAAGTGCTGAGCGCGATTTGATTTTCGGTAGGGGGACGCCAGCCATATGGACCCTCAGATCCGGTACACTGACACGTTGAAACATTAGTTTGGTGGGTTCATTATTATATTTCTGTCCATTTTTTTTTTGTCTCGGTTTCATAATTTGTTGTTTTTAGCACAAAGCTACGAAATGAGCTATCTACACTCTGTCTACCACGGGAAATTGAAATCTGTATTCGAGCATTGTAAGTCTAGACACTTACTGCTGACATACCGGGGAACCGGTTTAATAATACATGCAATCATGTGATTATTGGATGAGTTACAACATACCGGGGAACCGGTTTAATAATACAGGCAATCATGTGATTATTGGATGAGTTACAACATACCGGGGAACCGGTTTAATAATACGCACAATCATGTGATTATTGGATGAGTTACAACATACCGGGTAACCGGTTTAATAATACGTGCAATCATGTGATTATTGGATGAGTTACAATATACCGAAGAACCGGTTGAATAATACACGTAATCATGTGATTATTGGATGAGTTACAATATACCGAGGAACCGGTTTAATAATACACAGCAATCATGTGATTATTGGATGAGTTACAACATACCGGGGAACCGGTTTAATAATACACACAATCATGTGATTATTGGATGAGTTACAACATACCGGGGAACCGGTTTAATAATACAGGCAATCATGTGATTATTGGATGAGTTACAGCATACCAGGGAACCGGTTTAATAATACAGGCAATCATGTGATTATTGGATGAGTTACAAACAAAAATTCTAGATAGTGAAAAAAGACATTACATTAAAAAAATATTTAAACGTATTCAATTTGCTATCAAGCAAGTCTTGATATGACTATTATTTTCTGTCTCCATAATATACCTTTTATTTTTCAAATTTTATGTAAGGAAAGGACTAAAAACAGATACATATTTGATTCTGAATCTAACGTCATAATCCACTAAGATCGATATATATATCTACTTTCGTAGCGACATTTCTAAAAAATATAATCACAAGTATAATAAAACATAAAATTCATAAAAACAAGTAGGGATCGATATATATGTAACCTAGCTAACTATATTGATATAGAATGTTTTAATATTTCAAAAATAATTGAAACAGGAAAGTCAAAACTACAAAAACCAAGTTACTTAAAATTTAAGAAATGTTATCCTTATTTTGACAAATCACTGTAATTATTTTAGTTTGAAACAACACTCAAGACCTGCTATCTCAATGGCTAAGGCTGTTAAAATGCTGATAATAGCAAAAAAAGTTGATTTTCCGATTGTTAGACAAAATTCAAAACTCATCCAGATGTTTTTCATATTATTATTATTATTACTCATATTATTCTTGTTTCATAAGCCTACAGAAAAAACGGCTATGAATATTTTACTCAAAACGGGGCAAGCCTACTAAAACAACTCCTGCGCAGGTCATAGGACTATTTTTATGTTGATTTTTGAAATAGAAAGAGAGATTTTACCAGTATTTTCATCGCTACTGGCCAAGTTCCTGTCGGAAGCCATTCAAGCGCTATTACCTTCAGCAAATATGGCTAGGTATGCTGCGCCAAAATTTATGCACAGCTACTAAGCAAACTCCTGCGAAGGTTGTAGGACTATTTTTATGTTGATTCTTGAAAGTCGAGATTTCCACCCGATAAAATTTTCTAAGTTCTTCTTCGCTACCAACACACGTTTTTTGAAGCCATTTAAGCACCATTATACAAGTCGAAAATGCTCCATTTTATACTTGTCTGTAACGTTTTGGTTTATTTGAGTAAAAATTTATATGTTTGTAACAGTGTCTCCAGCCTTATTATTATTGATTATGGCCCGGCATGGCCAGGTGGATAAGGCGCTCGACTCGCAATCTGAGGGTCGCGGGTTCGAATTCCCGTCCGATCAAACATGCTCGCCCTTTCAGCCGTGGGGGCGTTATAATGTGATGGTCAATCCCACTATTCTTTGGTAAAACAGTAGCCCAAGAGTTGGCGGTGGGTGGTGATGACTAGCTGCCTTTCCTCTAGTCTTACACTGCTAAATTAGGGACGGCTAGTGCAGATAACCCTCGTGTAGCTTTGCGCGAAAATTCAAAAACAAAACAAATTATTCATTATAGTTTTACAAGCCGCCACAGAAGAAACGGCTACGAATATTTCACTGAAACCTGGGCATTAGTAAACAACGCAGTATTGAGTACATTATAGGGTAGTTTTAAAATTCATTCAAGCACCTTCGTTTTTTTGCTCTGAATAATTTCTCTAAGTCCTTCACTTTCCGCCATTGAAAAAATCCAGTGTTTTACTACTTCGCATTAATTTGAAAATAATTTGTGCAACTCATAACGTATTAATTGGAAACGGTCACATTGAGGATTTATCATTTCTGAGTTCGCTATTCTTCAGTGTTTATCGAGTTTGCTGTTGTACTTTGTCTGTACGTGGTTTTCTGCGACTATTTCAGTGAGTTTTCTAACAGTAGACGATTACCATAGTAGATTTCTCTACTCTTGCGAGTGGTGATTTATTCTACTGATGTTCGTACTTCGCTGAAATTGTGAGTGCATATTTTATTATTATTATTCATATTTTTGTTTCACAAGCCTACAGCAAAATCGGCTGGGTATTTTGTACCAAAACTCAGACAGATATAATATACGAAACCCTGCGAATGTGCATGGCCTATTTAAAAAGTTTATTATTTTTCATTGAAAATTGATTTACGTGGCTATAAATACATAATATATGCGATGTTGTTGTGAACGGCTTCCTTTATACTCGACGTTTGATAAACGGATGTTTACACGAAACCTCAGGCACAAAACCACCTGGCTCATTAGATAGTGGTTGGGAGGAAAAAAAACAATTTATCAGTAATCTGTGAAAAACATGTAACATTCAATCGAATGCATATGCACGTATGTAGCTTGAAATTTGTTCCCCATAAATGGACATAAAACTTAAGAAATAAGATAATTTAAAATTGTTGATTTAAACGGGAATTAGGGATCGTCAAAAAAAGTACAGAAATAAGTTGAGTCAAAATGCAAAAATTATATTTTCAAGTATACAACTAGGAACTCTAAAAAAAGTAAATGAACTAGGCTGGAAATAGCGTTTAAATTATTTTCTCAAGCAACAAATCTCTATTATGACTCCATTAAAATTGATAAGTACTGTAGACATGGAGTCAAAATAGCGATTTGTAGCTTGAGAAAATAATGTAGACAGTATTTACAGCCTACCTTTTTTGAAGATCCCTATTCCCTTTTTAAATCAAAAATTTTAATCATATTGTCAGTTAGCTATGTTAAGTATATATCGATCTCCACTTGTCTTTATAATTTTTTTTATTATACTTGTTTGTTTCATTTTTATTAGCTATATTTTTGTGCGCCAGCAATAACAGAAACAGCGTATTTGTTCAAACTATTTAACGGAAGTCTAAGAGATAATCCCTAGAAAATAATCCTGTTTCGAAAATACCTTAGAAGTATAAGACGATGGTTTAAACTATTTAAATATATTAACCAAATCCCCATATACACTGGAAATGAGGTGATAATATTGTAATAGAAAGCTAATTAATTAATATGATTGTACTGAAATGCAAATCAAACTTTAACAAAGATAAAGTACTAATATAAAGCACGTAAAGCATTAACAAATATCGGATATAAGTACTAATATAAAGTACGTAAACCATCAACAAATACCGGATATAAGTACTAATATAAAACACGTAAACATCAACAACAAGCATGAAAAGTATCAAAATTAACAATTGTCAGTGCTAAGTTATCATATAAGACACGTACAAAACAAAGACTAACTATCGTTTGAATCTGTTTCAGAACCAGATACTAAAAAAGATATCTACAATTAAGTGTGAACTATCTCTCTGCACGATGTCATGGCGTTTCGATCTTGCCACAGAAAGAAAATGTTACTAAACTTAATGTCACAGGTGCAAGTCTACAAGTCTATTGTAAATTTAATAATTCTTCAAGCCCCCCCCCCCCATCTCCATCCTCCGCTTTAAATTGTAGCAAGGAGCTTACCTATATAATAGTCAGTGACTTCAAAGAACGCAGGGAACTGCAAAGAACATTGCAAGACATTTCACATAATGCCTCAAATAAATAATTATTTCCTTACCCTTATTTAACTGACATAAAACATCAAGGCATGATGCTCCAACTTTATGCACGAATGATAACAATACGTATATGAGAGGTTTAATGAACCACAATTTAGGCTGACTGGTCAATAACGTGCACACTCTTTTTCTTCTCGTGCTATTGTGGTAAAGTTAGCAAACAATTCTTAAACAACTTTAACTAAGAATATTGTAAAGTCTCTGCTTGATATTTAGGTTTTGTTAGATAATTATTACGGTAAGGTTAATGTGGGATCGTAATCCTAGGTTATGAAAAGACTGTTATAGTTACGTTCCAAGCGATACTAGCAATTACAAGGTCATTGTTTGTAATATTATTGGAGTTTCGGTGGTCTGCACATTCAGCTGAAATAGCATGTAATCTTACATGCACCGATTAGCTACGCGTAAACCGGTGTTATCTTCCCATGTTTAAACTTATAGATCTCATAGGGAACTCAGTGGCGATCTGTTTTTTTTTTTTTCAGTGCAAAGTTATATAAT